TACTACTTGGATGTCTCAGACATTTCAAATTCAGTAGCCCCAAATTGAACTTACGTTTTTCTATCTGGTCTCCTTCCAAGTTCCTATGAGGAAACAAGGTTATTTCTATACTAAAGATACTCAGTGACCTCCCACTGCTCTTAAAATAAGGCTCTGACATGGTAATTATAAGGGTGAATATTAAATTTTAGAAATTAGTAGGACCAAACCAGGTAATTTGTTAAATATCATCCTTTTTCCTTCAATTTTAGGTTGTTGAATATTATACTAAACTGCTGGACATACTAAACTAAGTAGAAATACACCTGATATCTGACCCCAACATTCTTTTAGCTCAATTGGTAATTCTTAACTTTCTTTCCAAAGAAACATATTATGGGTAGCAATAAGGTGATCCTTAAAACAGAGTTGAGTTTCTGGAATGAAAAGTGCAAAATGCATAATGATTTGTATTATTGAGTTTTATCAATGATTATTATCCTACAAAATATTTTCTCATGGATATAAGGTAGATTATTTTGTTTGTAACTCAGGAAAACCGCTGGTACATGATCAGAAATAGATGGGTTATTTAGTTAGCATTCCTTAAGTCATGTGTGTAGCATCATTCTCTTGGATTCACCCTTGCAAAGAATTGAACAAAATAGAAGCCAAAGAAGCACACAGAAAAACAAAATCAATCCACTCTGCTCAAAGAGCACACAGTCTAGTGAATATGATGAACATGAAGTCAACTTTGTAGTTGTGAGAGCACTGGTTCTGAGAGCAGCACTTCTCATCAGGGGCTGTACATTAGATTCACCTGAAGAGTATACAGACGTTCAGATGCCCAGGCTGTACTTCAGAATCTCTGAAGGTATGATTCACAATGTGCATTTTTAAAAGCTTCCCAGGTGATTTCAGTGGACAGTAAAGTTGGAGAATTAAGTATGAATGCAACACTTGGTTAATGAATGCCTTTCTTTTAAACATTGATAGCCTTAGAGATGAGACTGAGTTTAAAACAAATGCATATTTTATTTGAATTTAAAAAATATTCAAAAGTGGGCAAAGGATATGAACAGACACTTTACAAAAGAAAACATGTATGAGGCCAAAAAACACGAAAAAATGCTCATCATCACTGGTCATTAGAGAAATGCAAATCAAAACTACATTGAGATACCATCTCACACCAGTTAGGACGATGATCATTAAAAAATCTGGAGACAACAGATGCTGGAGAGGATGTGGAGAAGTAGGAACACTTTTACACTGCTGGTGGGAGTGTAAATTAGTTCAACCATTGTGGAAGACAGTGTGGCGATTCCTCAAGGACCTAGAAATAGAAATTTCATTTGACCCAGCAATCCCATTACTGGGTATATATCCAAAGGTTTATAAATAATTCTATTATAAGGACACATGCACATGAATGTTCATTGCAGCACTGTTTACAATAGCAAAAACTTGGAACCAATCCAAATGCCCATTGATGATAGACTGGACAGGGAAAATATGGCACATATACACCATGGAATACTAGGCAGCCATAAAAAACGATGAGTTCGTGTTCTTTGTAGGGACATGGATGAACCTGGAGACCATAATTCTCAGCAAACTGACACAAGAACAGAAAAATCAAACACTGCATGTTCTCACCCTTAGATGGGTGTTGAACAATGAGAACACATGGACACAGGGAGGGGAGCATCACACACTAGGGTCTGTGGAGGGATCTAGGGGAGGAACAGTTGGGGGTGGAGAGTTGGGGAGGGATAACATGGGGAGAAATGCCAGAAATAGGTAAGGTGGAGGAAGGCAGTAAATCGCATTTCCATGTATGTACCTATGCAACAGTCTTGCATGTTCTTCACATGTAACCCAAAACCTAGAACACAATAAAATATATATTTAAAAAAATTCTGTTTTCCACTGACTTACAGAATAAAGTATAAGTCAAATTCAAATAAGAACAATAATAAAAAATTGAATATTTGACATTATTATTAATAGTGCACAAATTATGAAGATTTTAATTATAAAAGAATAATTTTCTTTAAAAAGATAAAAAATTGTGATAAAATAAGAAAAAAAAATTTTAATTTTATTTTACATTAAGGGGTACATGTGCAGGTTTGTTTCACAGATGAACCTGTGACTTGGGAGTCTAGTGTAGAGATTTTGTCACCCAGATACTAAGCATAGTAGCCAATACTTTTTTTCTGAACCTGCGTTAGTCCATCTGTATGCTGCTATGAAGACATATCTGAGACTCGGTAATTTATAAAGAAAAAAGGTTTAATTGACTCACAGTTCTGCATGGCTAGGGAGGCCTCTGGAAACTTACAATCATGGTGGAAGGCAAAACTGGAACATCTTACATGGTGGCAGGCAAGAGAAGTGAGAACCAAGGGAAAGGGGAAGCCCCTTATAAAACCATCAGATTGCATGAGAACTCACTATCACGAGAACAGTGTGGGGGAAACTGCCCACATGATTCAATTATCTCTACCTGGTCCTGCCCTTGATACGTGGGGATTATTACAATTCAAGGTGATATTTGGGTAGGGACACAGAGCCAAACCATATCAGAACCTCTCTCTCATCCCACCCTCCACTCTCAAGTAGGTCCCAATATCTGTTGTTCCTTCTTTCTGTCCATGTGTTCTCATTATTTAGCTCTGACTTATAAGTAAAAATATGTGGTATTTGGTTTTCTGTTACTGTGTTAGTTTGCTAAGGATAGTGGCTTCCAACTCTATCCATGCTCCTGCAAATGACATAATCTCATTCTTTTTTATGGCTGCATAGTATTCCATGGTGTATATGTACCACATTTTCTTTATCCAGTCTATCATTGATGGGCATTTAGGTTGATTCCATATCTTTCCTATTGTGAATAATGCTGCAGTGAACATATGCATCCAAGTGTCTTTATGGCAAAATGATTGCTATTCCTTTGGCTATATACTGAATAAAGGAATTGCTGGGTCAAATGGTAGTTCTGTTTTTAGTTCTTTGAGGAATCACCACACTACTTTCCACAATGGTTGAACAAATGCAGATTTTAATGTGAAGATCACAGAAGCAAATTTGAAGTTCTTTTAATACTGTTTCACTGACTGAGAAAGGGAAGAATGAGGAATCAAGATGGTGTGACTTTTAGACAATGCAGCTATATGTAACATTTCTTAATTGGCTGTGATACTTCATAGCCCAATTTCTTAGACTGGGGGCAGGAAACATCCGAGAAAACAAATTTCTTTCATGTCCGTCTCCAGAAACATGCCTATCAGCATGCCTGGAAACCTGAGTGTGGAAAGGTGTCCTGCCATAGCCTGTTGGCCATCTTGTGGAGGCACCAGAGCATTGATTGTAGAAGCACTCACTTTTTTTACTTCAAGTAATTTTTATATATTCACATATTAGGATGCAATAGTTCATGTGATTAACTTATTTTTTCCTCTTAAATATGTGATAGATATAGAACCAAAGCTACCAGTGCTTAAATGTACACTTTGAGAGCTGGTCCTAAGTTTTTTCTGGGATGATACTTTTTGTTTTACCAACCAGAGCTTCTCTTAGTAACCTAGTGATTCACATCCTCCTCAGAAAGCCATCCCATCCATTCCGGGCTCCACAGTAGAGTGGGGTTTTCGTGATTCTGAGATATGATTGATATTCAAAAGCTCACTGGAACCAACTATGCCTTAAAGCAGAAATTAGCCCCAAGGCATTCTGAAGACTCTTCTGGTCCTCCTCCTATCAAATTGGGTTTAAGCAATTCTAACAAATCATCTTCTAAACCATTAATTACTAATACTTATTAATTAGAATTTCCTCACTTTCATAAAATACCATCAATTTTATTGATTTCACATATTTAGGAAAGAATAACAAATCCATCTAAATTTATGAATCAGCACGTATTTAGAGGATTTTAAAACTGTGCTGAAGCCATAGTTTTAATTTGTGAAATTCAATGTACTTTGCAAATAATTTGTTCTTATAAATACTGTTCCAAGTATGTTGGTGGCACTGATACCTGATGGAGACATAAACCAGAAAAAACGGCAAGTGTTATGCTTTAATGGAAGAGATTCTTAACCAAAATTATTTTGAATAATATTACCAAACCCATTATCAGCCTGATCACCATTTGAATAAATATTCACTCTTGAAGAAACCCTGCTTGTTAAATTGTAGGTCAGATTTAGAGTCTTACAACCTGGTTTTCTGTTCCTGAAGGTGATAAATAATATTTTTCAGAAGTCATGGTTGCCTTTCAAGATATGCCTCAGACTAAGCTGTCACTCAGATATTCCTACCTTTGTAAAGCCTTGGTTATAAATTTATGATAAATTTCTCTAAGCATTTTAAAATCAGTTTATATGTTTGACATGGACTACAAGTTATAGTGTGGGAAATTAAAATGTAGAAGTAATAGGTTCTTTATGCATCAGCATTTTCCCTAGAATTTATGTAACCTCTAAACACACATTCCATGATATAATAAATTACTTTTTAAAATTTTATTTTGATCTGATAATACATAAACACAATGTTTTAAGGAACAAAGAGTAGCCCTCAGATATATCCCATCCCAACCCTGATTCCTGCTTCTAGTCTTTTAATTTAATGTTTTCTCCTAGTACTTACCTCTATATTTCTCAGTAATTTGTGTGTATTGCTACTTTCTGGCCTTTTTGTTATAGCTATTACATATTGGTTTTCTATCCTGGAAGATGATGATTTAGCATCTCTCTCAGACACAGAATCTCTCTCTCTCTCTCTCTCTCTCTCTCTCTCTCACACACACACACACACACACACACACACACACACTCTCCCAACTTCATATATACTTCCCTTCCTCCATTCTTTTTATCTTGCTATTTCACAACTTTTGGTTAAGTCCATATTCAGTGACATGCTTATTATGAAACACACATAGTGTTTCATTATTATATTTTCTTATTGCTTTTCCTGAAGTTAACCATACCTTTGTGGTTTGTTGCTTGTTTTTTTGGTTAGCTATTATTTACTTAACACTTAGCTTATGAAAAACACTGTGCTAAACACTTTTATGATATATTAATGGTTTGCCCTTATGGGGTAAGTATTATTATCACCCCTATTTTTACAAATGTAACTGAGGCACAGAGGTGGAATAACTTGCCCAGATCACAAAGCTAGCAGATGACTAGCTAAGATTTGAACCTAAGCATTTTGACTCCCCCTTAACCACAGAAAAATACAAAGAAATGTCCAAAGTTTTTGAGGCTTGTTTCTTGAGAGAAGATCAGTATTATTAATGAAAATGAAAGAACTGGACATAGGACATAGCCTGGATTTTTCTTGGCAAACAGAGAACGAAAGGAAATGATGAATTTGTTTTGGACATGTGAGAATGATGTGATATCAAGGTATGTAAATTTTTTACACAAAAATTATTTATGTAATAGGCAGTTGGACATATGCTGGGAAAGAAACTTCAACTATGGATGTGAGTTGGAGAATCTTTGACATAGAAAATGTACGCTATTAGATGAGAGAATGTGATTTCTCCAAGCAAGTGAATACGCAGAAAGAAAAGCAGAAAAGATGGGGCCGAACTTTATGGTAAATGTGAAATTAAGACGGGGTGAAAGAAGAGAAGCTCAGGTCAGAGTGAAACAATGATAGAGGTGGGAGGATAATGAGAGAGGGGTTAAAATCCCCGCTAGAAAAAACTTTCCCAAGAGATGAGCATAAAACAAAGAGGGTTGTGTCCTTTAGAGAAATGGACAAGGGTGATGAGCAAGAAGAAATCAATTTTGGAGAAAGGTGGTATTGACAACCTCCACCACAAACTGTTACAATTATTAAGTATAAATAACCAGAGATAGTACTACATTCTATTTTGTCTTGTTTACATATTTTTTCATTTCTGATGTTTTATTATTTGTTTTTAGTAGACAGAAGGAATAAATTATTATTGCTTATCTAAATATGTCTGGGCCAGATCCCAGAAATCTGGCCAGAACTTAGGTACTGGCAAAGTCAGAGAACCACAGAATGTCAAAAATGAGAAGGACATCAAGAGTTCATCCTGGTTCATTTCATTTTATTTATGGAGAAACTGAGTCTCAGAGTGGTTGAGTGACTTCTACTATTGAAGGCTTTTGAGATGGGCCTGGAGGTCTGATCTGAAACCAGGCCCATGCTCTCTCATGTATCTCAATGTGCCTTTGAAACAGCAGGTGCAGTTAACTAAAAACCTTACTCTCCCTTCTGACTTCCATATATCTCAATTTGCAAATCCAATGCTGCATCATGGAGGGATATCCTAGACCAAGTAAAGAGATTTTTCTAAATCCTTAATTGTTGAATCAGAAAACTGAGACATGTCCAATTTGTTTGGACCCACAATTTTGGTGCCTTGATGCCTCTTTTAAATGTAATGGGGCATAGTTAGGATGAGTAGTGTCAGAATAAAATACATACTTTTTTCTTAAAAGACTTTTAAATTGTGACATTTAACTTGTACCATTGAAAAATATTGAAAATAATTGTGGTTGGGATTTTAAGAATACATTTCTGTGGTTTAGCATAGCATAGGCTGGAGTCACATCTGTGATTTTCTACCTATACTGCCTGTCTTTTTGGCTCCTGATGCATCTTTTTATTCATCAGGCAGAAGATTTGATCTAATATGTTGAGGAAAGTTAGCTGACTAACCAAAAATTTCACCGTATCCAGGAACCCGTAGGAAGTGTTGTCTTTTCTAGAGGAAACTGTGAGCTATATATATATTTTATTATAAAAATATGTGTCTGCCATTTCAAACTACTAAACACTTAGACTAGTGAGAGTTTGGACTGTCCTATACAAGGACCCAGACAGAGTGTGATTGTAGAATAATGTGCTCAGAGATCACAGAGTCTGTGTCTTTGGACTGGTCTATTCTTAACGGCTGTGGGGAGATAAGGCAATTTACCTCACTTCATCAGAGACCTTATTGAAGTGATAGAAAAAGCTTCTATTTTAGAGTTTAAACTTAACCAAAACTTGTTACTTAAAAGCCAAAAAAAAAAAAAAAAAAAAAAACAAACTTAAGGACTTCGACACCGTTTATTTTTCAGCTCTATGTGACTCATTTTCATCTAGCAGTACCTCTCCAAAACCTGAATCTCCACGAGAAAGCTATACAGCAATTAACAAGTATTGCAAGGATTGCTTTTGCAATAAAGGTAAACCTGGGAGCTATTGCTTATAATTTTCAAAAATGTGCAAGTGGTAGGATGGTTCCAGGGGCAGTGCATGACTATATATATCATGTAAATAGACCAGCCTAAAAAACACAACACATTGCTTTGTTTCTATCAGGCCGTACCACAACCCATTTTTTCTGAATATTTTTTGCTGCTTTGTGCTTTTCTTTTTTTAACCCCTTTCTGACTGCATAGATCATATGTACTCATTGTTGAAAATATGGAAAGTAAAGGAAGTACAAATTCCACTACCCACAGTGCCTTCTGGATTTCCTAGAGCTGTGACAACACTCTCAAATATGTTAATGAAAGAGACTCTTGATAAAAACTGAATTTTACTTTTTCTTTGCCATTAAATTTGTATCTAACAGAATAAACTTAAGGAGAAATTAGCCCTTCCTGCGTTCATCAATGTCATTTTCCTTACATAGTTGTTATTATTACTAACTAATAATAAGCTTTCTCTCTGAGCACTTAGCATGTGTCAGTTGAATGCTAAGCATTGCACATAAACACTCTCACTTGGTGAAAAACCTAGGAGCCTGGCACTGTCCCCAGTAACTGATTACCGATCATTTAGTGGGAGCTCAGAGTGCTTATATAACGTGCCCAAGGCCATGTGGGAGATAAGATTCAACTCCAGCTCTCTGAAATCATCACCACTATCTTAGATGAGAAAGTAATGGAGGGAAGATGCTAATTTATTGAGATTCTCCATTAGGTAAGTAATTGTGCTGGATACTTCACGTGCTGTTTGTGTTCAATTCTCACAGCCTCACAAGACAAATATTATTGCCACTTACAAATGTGGAAGGAAACTTAGGCTTAGTGGGACTAAATATTTTATTAAAAGTCACACAGCTGATAAGTGGGAGAGCTAGAAAAATGACTTTGCTTTCTCTGTTTCCAAAGCTGTCATTTCTACTTGACCACATGAAAAAAATTTTTTTTGACATCTCTTTCCCCCACCTGACTTTGTAAGATCAAAATGTGTTGCCCATTTTGGTAAATTTTCACAAGACAATGTACAAACTGGATTGAAAGGCTTTTTCAATGAATGAATGAATCTATAGAATCCTGCTAATCTGGACTAATGTCCAGCTTTGGAGATTTTACCAGAGACTCAGCATAATGCCTAAAGATTGTACTGAATGCATACTCTGATGTCTCAATATTTTAATGTTTAGTCTCAGTTTACAATAAACAAGGAAGAGTAGATTTGACAGTCTAGCTTAAAAGACATAGCATTTTTAAAATGTGTGGAGGAATTCAAGCCTATTACTTAAGTTTTCCCAAAGTGTTATCCCACTTATCAATGAAATACTAAATGAAAAAATAAACAGATCTGTTATCACTTAGAATACGTGTTTGCCCACAAAAATAACTTTTTAAAGAAATCATAAATGGCTTAGAAAAATGATATGAGAAACCTGGGTTAGCAGCAGTTACTATAGATTATTTATTTATTCAACAAATATGAGGGAAAGGAAGTGTGGTATATAGGGGAAATGACTGTTTAAATAATGAGGTCAGAGAAGCTCTCCTTGTAAGATGGAAGCTGTAATTCCTGCCTTATAGTGACAACCCAAGAATGTGGGAGAAGTATGCAGAGCTCCCTGTGCATACATAAAGCTATGATTTTATTTTATAGATGAGAAAACAGATGTGGTTTAATGGGGTTTCACTCAGTTGCTGCCAATTGGCAAAGCTTAGATTGAATTCAGGTTTTCTGATTCTAGGGTCTGTGATCTTCTCATTTTGCCTGGCAGTTGTGTTGTTTCCTCTGGGTACTGATCACACTTGTACAAATGGACAGATGTTGAAAATACATACACTGGTGGATGAACCTAAAATGAATGCCAATATTTCATTTTTATAAAAGTTTCTATTTGATGTATTTGTGTTTTGAGAGTATATTTGCTGTTCAATATAATTTTGTGTCTATTGAATGTGTTTTAAAAATTATAATCTCTAAGGATGTGAATTAATGTACATTAATGTGTAACTAATGTTACAGCTTCTTTTCTAGTCACTTGGGTTTTCATGTTGTTTTTAAGAACTGAGTGCAATTATAGGAAACACATTTGGAATCATGGCATAAGTCAGCCCTAAAGGAATAGCTAAAGTCCTGGAATGAACCTTGTAGAGTCCGGTCAAGACAAATAAGGGTGGTGATTTAGAATAAAGAACCAATTATGCAAATACCATTATGATATAAAAATATTGTTAGATTTGTTGGGAAGAATTTTTATATGTAGCAGTTCTAGTTAATTATTAAATTTATTTTAAAAATCATACCATTAAGAAAAGAGCAGACAAAGAGATTTTAGTATATATAATCAGAGTTAAAGATTACATACAAAGAGTACATTTAGTTATAAGGAAAAAAGTAGTATCCCAATGTAATTGGCAAATAATAAAATTTCATCAAAGAATAAAATGTAGAACTATTGAGGAAACAGTAAAAATGTTTCTGGTTGCTAGTAATCATGGCATGTGAATTAAGACAAAATAACTTATTTTTCCACTTAATGAAAGGATATGATTTAGAAAATGTCATGAAAATGGCATTTTTATATCTTGCAAGTGGGAAGACAAATTGATGCAACCCTCTTGAAAAACAATTTGGTGATATGAATCAAGAGCCCTGAAAAGGCTTATGCCATTATACTTAGTAAGTCTATTTATAGAAATTTGTTTTTTAAAGATAAACTAAAATAAGGGAAAACCCTTATTGGGAAAGATGTTCATTTCAATATTGTCTAGAACACAAAAAATATTGGAAGAAAAAAATCTAACAATAAATAAATAAAGTCATGTCGGGTAAATTAGAGTGGATCTCTGTGGTAGAAGATTATGCAACTGATAGAAATGATGATAATAAAATTCACATAGCAACATAGAAATGCCTTAACTAGAATCCTTAGTGAAAAATGAGCATATGAAATAAAATGCAGGTGATTGTCACTATATACAATTATTTAGAGAAGACTGAAAGGAAACATTAAAAGATTTGTAAGTTATTTAGAGATAGTGGAATTATAGATCTTTTATTTTTACTTTCCATATATAATCTTCAATGTTGTTATAATGATTTAACAATGAAAATGTAATTGATAGTGTATTGTTACTATTTCCTTAATTCCAGAATGGCTGTAATGTTGGCAGTAAATATGAAACCTTCTTTTACACACCAATATTTTCAAGAATGGCATATTCACATTCAGTGTGTGGCAAGTTGCATCATTTTTCTTTGAACTGGCCTGATAATTTTCAAGCTAACAAACCTGTTCTTCCGTGAAAGTAAGTTGCCATTAACGACCTTACTCTTACTATGCATAAGCAATAGTTAACAAAGAACTATTATTTTGAAATGGCAAACGCTTCCTTTACGCAGATGTTTTTATACATTCACAATTCACAAGCAATCAGCCTGACTAAAGCACTGGGATTTAAAAAATGTGTTGAGACAGCATCTTCACATGCCTGGGAGACAATTCAACCCAGAGGTTCAAATGTAGAATGCATGTTTATAAGAAAGGTCACTGATTTTTCACCACTTAGGAAAGACATGCTACATGTGCCAAGAGAGATATACTTTAAGGTTTTCATGCCTTGAAAGATAGATAAAAATCACTTTCTATCATTCACCTCCTAGATTTTCTAAAACCGACTTTGAGAGACATCCAGTTCTGTAGGTTAAGTGGAGAATAATGCAAATAGCTTGAGTTTAAACTATATCCAATTTTATAGAAGATTCCACATTTCTGAGCTTTTCTTCTTAAGCCTGCATCTCTTTTTCTGTTCCCCATCTTGATTCATGTTTCTGTCTTCCAGGCATTTTCCTAAGAGAAACACCTAGAGGTTATTCCAGACTCCTCTCTCTCTTTCATTCAGAGACTGTCTATCAGCTTTTATCAACTGAACCTCTAAAAAATGCTTCTTGAGTTGAGGCTCTTTCTATACCTGAAATATTGTATTAGCTTTTTGTTAAGTTCTTCTAGACTTACCTTTTTCAAACAATATTTAAAAATTTTTAGCTTTTGCTTGGGTGTGGTGGCTCACACCTGTAATCCCAGCACTTTGGGAGGCTGAGGTGGGCAGATCACTTGAGGTCAAGAGTTCAAAACCAGCCTGGCCAACATGGTAAAACTCCATCTCTACTGAAAGTATAAACATTAGCCAAGTATGGTGTTGTGGGCCTGTAATACCAGCTACTTGGGAGACTGAGGCAGGAGAATCACTTGAACCTATGAGACAGAGGATGCAGTGAGCTGAGATCACATCACTGCACTCCAGCCTAGGTGATGAAGGAGACTCCATCTCAAGAAAATAATATATACTTTTTAGCTTTTATATTAAAAAATCTTTGGTGACTCTTTACTGTCTTCAGGATAAAGTCCAATTTTCTTTTTTTTTCTTTTTGTTACAACATTATCAATGTAATTAATACCACTCTACACTTAAAAGTGGTTAAGATGGTAAATTTTTTTCTGTATATTTTACCACAATAAAAACACTGTAGAAAAAGTATGTTTTTAAAAAAGTGGTTCAGTAGCTTGTCTAAAATCACATAGCTATTAAGTACAGACATTATTATTCAAACACTCCTTGTCATACCCCAAAACATAGTCCTTTTCCATCATAGTCATGGTTTGCATACTGCTTCATAAACAGTACAGTATTTTATTTGAATAAAGATTCTTTACTGCCCTTTTGTACACTTTTAATATAAAAATGATTAATGCTTACTTCTTCCATTACTATTTCAGATTTAAACTGTGACCTTAGTTTTGGGAAATGTAGTGTATCTTCACGTGTTTGGAAATTGAAGGGTTAGCCCTATAGTGCCTGAATGTTTCTTCTTAGTCATTGCTTCTATAATCCATATATTTTTCCCCAAATAAAAAGTGATGTCTTAAATTGTGACTTAGCAAGCTTCCTATACATTGGCCTTGCATGTAAATGGAGATAATAGGAAAAGATTTTTCTTCAGAACTATAATTTTAAAAATGTATCTCTAATTACTATTCATAAACATCCTTTGAGAAGTTTTTAAAATCACCTATACACTTTAAGTGAATGATGCCAAACTTCAACAGTTAGCTGCTATAATGTAATCTGATCTTAGAATTCATCTAGTGCTTAATGGTAAATTTTTTCTCATGTCTGGGACTAACTCTTCCAAGCCTTGTCAATAGATCTGGGTCACTTAAGCACAGCACTCTTTATCACACTCTGAGGATCCTGTGACTCTCTGGTATCTCCCCAAAAGTTGATTGTTTTAAAATATATATTGGTAAGTGGTCACCCACTTTTTAACTCTTGTTTCTCTATTTTTTCACCTCTTCCTCATGCACTTCATACCTAGACACAGTCCACTATTTTCATTTCCTTAATTCCAAGAGTCCTTTGCTTGATTCCATGCCCTTGTATTAAAATATTTTCTGTGGTACATGACATAGAACCATTATCTGCTCGTATATGCCTCCTTACTACATTATGAGTCACTCAGAACAGGGCCTATGTCTTGTTTATCACTGTATACCAATCATCTAGCCCAGGATAAAGACTCTAGATACATTAATTAAGTGAGTAAATAATTAATCCGATAGTGTAGAATGCAGATTTAAGTTAAGGTGACCCTCCAAAAAGATGGCTCTTTGGTTTTCATAGGTGTGGAGTTTTGGATGGGGAGATGCTGGGAAGGGGAAAGCCAGACTTGTGCCAGACTTGACCTGGAAGCAGGGCTTTGAATGTTCACAAGCAGTTCTAACTAAAGCTAGAAAGAAGAGAGCTAAACTGGGAATGAATATGGTAGGAGCTGCATTCCAGGTCAGGAATTAAAGATTAAGTCAAGAGTATAATTAAATATGATTAGAGGAACAGAGAACTTGTGTCATATTTTCTGGAACCTCCCATAGATAGCTTTTCTTGATGCAGATGGGCCAAATTTATATGTTCTGCTAAGAACCTGAAATGGAGAGAATCTGTAATTATTGAGAAGTAGATAGAACCCACTAGTTTGACAGGCAGCTGAGTTGAGGGCAGGGATGGCTTTTGCTCTTGAATATTAAGAAACTTAACCAACACATATATGCATTGACAACTAGAAGTGGATCAAATGACATTCCAGTTAGAAGAAATAGAATGTATAAAGCCTCAGAGATGTGAAAGTGTGTACCATGTTTGAGGGATTTCTGATACTTTCATTTGGTGAGAAGATACCCTGTGAGGGAGCAATAGAAGTGGATTAGTGACTTTTGGGAAGGGTGAAAGATCCAAGGTGACCTCCATGGTCCGTGCCTCCTAGTGTTCACATGTAATTCTCTCTCTGTAAGTATGGGCAAAAACAGTGACTGCATTCTAATTAACAGAATATTGAATTGTGGTGATCTATTACTCCTATGATTATACTACATTCTATAATACTCTATGTTGGTAGCAGACTCACTCCCTGTCTCCTCTTGCTGGTTTTGAGGAATTAAGTTGCCATGCCTTCTGTAGCCACAAGAAGCTGAATGCTGCCAACAACCAATTATAAGCAGGGAAGCAGATTCTACCCTAACTGAGCCTCCCTGTTGTAATCACCCCCATTTGAGTGCAGGCAGAACCTCTGACTTGATTCTAACCAATAAAATAGGACAAAGGTGATGGAATATCACTCCTATAATTTCATTATGTTATGTTAGTCTGCCTTGCTAGCATACTGTCTCTTTCTCTCTCTCTGCCTTTTTATTTTTAAACAATTGTAAGCCTTAGTGAATCCTATAGCTACAAGAAAGTGAAAATGAATGCTTCCAATAACAACATGAGCAGGGAAATGTATCCTTCCCTAGTTGAGCTTGCCGATGAGAACCTAGCTCAGGCCAGGTCTTTGTGCTGTAGTAATTTGTTACTCAGCAACAGATAACTGATACAATAGCAGGAAGCAGAAGCCCCTGATAATCTCCACTTTAATCTCCAACAATCTATGTAAACAGTAAACATATTTTTCCAGGGGGAGACAATTATATTTTACTTTATCAAGATTTGTCAAAGCCTCATCAAGTATTTTATTAATTTTCCATTAGTTTGAAGAAGTAAAAAATTATTAAAGCCAGTTGTACAGATTAATCTTCTACTTTCTTTTTTCTTTTGCCCTTTTATATGTGCTGATCTTTATCTCCAATATAAGCTATGTCCAAAGCCAACTCTCCTCGTCTAGTTTGAGGTGAAATGCCTTTTACTACCATCAACTGCTTTTAGATCATCCTAATAGCTCATTATTATCTTAAAAATCATTTTCTCACTTTATAGATATGTGGTACCTTTTAAGTGAATTCCAGCGATCTCTGAACATGCCACATAGGTGAATATTAATTTGAATATTATATGCATTTATTATCTAGTTTACTTTTGGAAATAAATTGTAAAGGAAAACTGTGAAAAAATATACTTACTCTAGACATTCTCTACAATGATTTACGACAGATGAAAGAAACAATAAAGGATGCTAATAAAGCGGTTTCTTTGGACAGTATGAACCTGGTAGGTTTGATACATTTTAATTGCAAAATAAATGAAAAATGATGGTACATTATTATAATTTTTTTCCTTTATTAGTATGCTTGCTATTTTTTACATATTATAATTACTCATCTCTATTTTTATGTATGTCTGTGCCATGGTATATTTCCTTGACTAGTTTTTAAGCCAGTAGGAATCGTATTGTGGGATGCAAAACAAAGTTTAGGAAGACTTAAGTAAGTTAAAGAATGTTTGCAACCAATAACCTTGTTCTATAGATGATTCACTTCTGCACATCATCTCCATAAAATGTGCCTTATAAAAAATAACTTCACTTTTAGAGAAATAGGTTGATAAAATGTGGCATTAATATTATTAATGACTTTCCATCAGGGTATACGCAGTTTACCAAAAAGAAAAGCAGAGCTAATGGTAATAGATGTAAATGTATGAAGAAGATAATTTTAGTTCTATAGCTGGAGAAGCCTGGAAGATATCTGTTCCAACTTTCTCATTTTACAGTTGAGGACACTGATATCCAGAGAACTGATTGGTTAAAGTTATGTCTAAGTTTAGATCATGTGAATAGCTCCTCTGGGTTTCCAGTGCACAATCTGCATGGCTGTACGATTAGTACAACCCTGTTTGATTTTATTCCATTTCTCTGAAGTTCAAAGATTAACTATTTTTTTGGATGACCTTTGTGTTTTCCAAGATGTGTACTGTGTTAGAGCTCTTGTGTGGAATTCATGCAAAAAGCCATTTATGATTTGAACTATGGTCTCAGACTAAATCCTTCTCACGTTTGTACTTTATAATTTTAAGAGGGGCCATCATCAAATCTATTACAGATGTAAATGAGCAGTTTGAAGAGAATAAAGATCACAAAAAGGCAAATGCAATCTTTGTGTTATTTATTTTTTCTAAAACAAAAAAATGGGATACATGTGCACAATGTGCAGGTTTGTTACATAGGTATACATGTATCGTAGTGGTTTGCTGCACCTCTTGACCTGTCCTCTATGTTCCCTCCCCTCATCCCTCACCCCCCTCATCCCTCCCACAGGCCTGGTGTGTGTTGTTCCCCTCTTTGCATCAATGTGTTCTCAAAGTTCAACTCCTACTTATGAGTGAGAGCATTCAGTGTTTGGTTATCTATTCCTGTGTTAGTTTGCTGAGGATAATGGCTTCCAGTTTCATCCATGCCCCTAAAGTACATGATCTCATTCCTTTTTATGACTGCATAGTATTCTGTGGTATATATGTACCACAGTTTCTTTATCCAGTCTATCATTAATGGGCATTTGGGTTGCTTCTTTGTCTTTGCTATTGCAAATAGTGCTACAATAAACATACATGTGCATATGTCTTTATAGTAGAATGATTTATATTCCTTTGGGTATATAACCAGTGATGAGATTGTTGGGTCAAATGGTATTTCTGGTTTTAGATCCTTGAGAAATTGCCATACTGTCTTCCACAATGGTTGATCTAGTTATATTCCCACAAACAGTCTAAAAACATTCTTGTTTCTTCACAGCCTCACCAGCATCTATTGTTTTCTGACTTAATAATCACTATTGTGACTGGCATGGGATGGTATCTCATTGTGTTTTTGATTTGCATTTCTTTGAGGATCAGTGATGTTGATCATTTTTTCATGTTTCATGGTGTGTAAATGGCTTCTTTTGAGAAGTGTCTGTTCATATCTTTTGCCCAATTTTTGATAGGGTTTTTTTTCTTGTAAATATGC